TGCATCAGAAAAAGGCATTGTTAAAAATACCTACAAACTATTGTTGTTATTATTTATTTCACAAGAAAGACCTGTCCTTAATCCTTACTCTAAATGGCTAGCTGTGTTTAGTGCCCTTAAGAAACTGCTCATTGCTTTCCCTCGCCTAAAAACACACAAGTTGTCACTATAATTTCAACAAATAGCCATTTTCTGGCTTGTGTTTGTGTCGCTTGGCAGTGGAGCATGAGCTCCCAGAATTATTGACGCAGGCCAATCATATTTGATGAGAAACCCCAAGTGGGCGAGTTTTGGAAAAAGTGGACCCTTGCCTTTTGGCTGATCCCTTTGTGGTTTCAGGGTGGGTGAAAACAGAGTTGGGTGCTGTGGAATCGGTGAGGGTAACCAGAAGTGGTCTAGTGATAATTGTTTGTGTTTCTGCTGGTCAGAGGGAGAAGGCGCTCAGAGTTAAACAAATGGGGGCAAGAAATGTGAATTGTTTCCATCTCAAGAAAAGGGCACCATTGAAAGGAGTGATTACTGGGGTAGCAGTAAATGTAAAAGTGGACCAACTGAAGGGGATGATTCCCGGTGTTTGTGATGCTCGTCGTTTGGTGCGACGCAGACAGGGGGGGGGGGGGGGGGGGGAAACAGAGGAGTCATTGTCTGTTCTTTTGAGTTTTGATGTTGAGTCTTTGCCCGACAAAGTGAAGTTAGGATATATAAGTTATCCTTTACGAGCTTATGTGCCGAATACATTACGATGTTACAGGTGTCAAACTCATGGGCATGTGGCAGCAGTGTGTAGGAGGGAGGTTCCAAGGTGTGAGAAGTGTGCAGAAGGGCATGAGACAAAGGAATGTGTAACATTGGGGAAAGAAGTGGTATGTGCTAATTGTATGGGTGGCCATGAGGCTGGGGATCAGACATGTCCTGTGCGAGAGAAGCAGGTTGAGGTTTCCAGGGTTACAGTAGTGAAGAAGTCATATGCTGAGGCAGTGAAGAAAGTAGAGGAAGATGGGTCAAGGGGGAGGAGTGGTGAGAGTAGGAGATCTGTACCAGTACAGAGGGATAGGCAAAGAAGTGATATATGTTTCAGTAAGATTGGATTTTTAGCATTTATAGCAATGGTTATTAATTGTACTGCAGGGATGGAATGTAAGGTTGTAGTGGCAGCTGCAGAGAGGTATTTGGGTGTGCGGGACTTGACATCAGAAGAGTTACAGGGTGTGTTAAGTAGTGAGGTAGGAATAAATAGATTTAAATAGTGGAGTAGGGTGGTGTTAATTGTATTTTTCAAGCAAGATATAAGGGAGTTGTACTCCAGTGTAGTAGGTGGCGGCAATGCAACATATTGGATGCCAACCGCCGTTAAACCTCATCGAAGAAGAAGAAGTGGGCGAGTGTTTTTGGGTAGGCGCTATCGACAGTATGGCGGACGATGGAGACAGTTGGAGTGGAGCAGTTGACAGTAGTGGCGGGCTGGGGACTTCAGATGAGTCGGACCCGTTCAGTCTTGGCGGGATGTTGTTAAATTTAAGTATTTTAGTTTTAGTGGTTGCGATCTGCTATGTTATTTATCGGCGATGGGGTAAACGAATTGTCGATGACGCGGCCCAGGCAAGCGAGGCCTCGTCTCTTCCAAAGATGCGAAGACGTGATTTCACTTTGGAGCAACTGAGGGAATACGATGGACTTCAAAACCCCCGGATCATGATGGCAGTTAATATGAAAGTATTCGATGTTACCACCGGCAAAACGTTTTATGGCCGAGGTAAGAACCCCTTCATGGAAAATAACACACTGGATTGCATCGGTTATTTGGGCGCAGTAGTTAGCTTCGACTAGCTTGGTAGCTAGCTAACTAACTCCATTAAAGCAAGGTAGCAGCTAGCTACCCAAGCAGTTATTTTAGTTGGCTAACGTGCTAAATGAAATCACTAACTTAGCTAACTAGTTAGTCTGGCACTTTGCAATGTTAGCATTTAATTGGCTTGTTAGCTAGTTTGTTTGCGTAAGTAGTTAGTTTCTTCTAGGTTGTAGTTAGACACGTGTGCATGTTTACTGTACTAAGTAACGTTAACGTTAGCTAGCTAATCTGCATATAACTTAACGTTAGCTGGCTAATCTGCATATAACTTAACGTTAGCTAGCTAATCTGCATATAACTTAACGTTAGCTAGCTAATCTGCATATAACTTAACGTTAGCTAGCTAATCTGCATATAACTTAACGTTAGTTAAACTAGCTACAAAAGCAACACTACACTGACGCCTGTTAGCTACATCACTCAGTTAAAGTATTACGGAAATGTCCACAAAAAGCTGCATCCGAGGTTGTTTAAAAAAAAAAGAGTTCGCTAACGTGAAGTTATAGTTCGCTATCTATATAGCTACCTAACGTTAGCTAGCTGGTGTGATTAACGTTAATGTAACTAGCTAGCTCAAGTTAACTTAGAGCTACCTATGGAACAACAAGTTGAGCAAATGTTAACGTACAAATGCAGATTAGCTAGCTAGCTCGTTAGCTAAACAGACTGATTAGCGTTTGCTGAAGCGGGGACCAAGAGTAAGCTAACGTTAGCTATCTAGCTAGTTATTCCCAACAGTGTGTCAAACTGAGCCCCTGTGTTAGGGAGTGGTGGGGAGTCGACTCCTTGCCCATTGACTCCCATTTCTGGGTGCTAAGCTTCGATTCCACTCCTAAGATTCAGTATTTTTGCAAGAGAGGAAACTGTTTCCGTAGTCTACTTCGAGAACACAAACTCTCGCATCTTTCACAGCAAAGAAAGAGCGAGCTAGCGAGAGAGAGATGGAAGGGGCCATAGGTAGGCATGTCGGCCACCAGGCAGACAGTCAGAACCGTTCATCGGTAATCAGAAGATGTAGGCTATCACAATGCTGTATTTCGCAATTTCTTGGCATGCAATGACTCGCGGAAGTTCACTAAAGTAGGGGCTATCAATGAGTAGGCTGAGCTATTCTACACGCAACAGTCCGAAGACCAAACACACACAGGAGCATGCAGAGAGATATAGTCAGAACTGTGCGCACAGGCTAGGTCATCTAGCAATGCCTCGTAAACTCACCAAAAGCATATTAAAGTATATATTAGGCAATCAATGAGTATGGCTAAGTTATTCTTCATAGTGCCAGTGAATTGAAGTTGAACGTCGCCAAATGCATCAGTTTAATTAGGCCTAAATGTGCAATAAAAAGTATTGCCTATAGCTTATTTAATGAAACCCTGGCTGTTGGTGTCCTAGGTCAGGGCTCTCCAACCCTGTTTCTGGAAAGCTACCTTCCTGTAGGTTTTCGCTCCCACCCCAGTTGTAACTAACCTGATTCAGTTTTTCAACCAGGTAATTATTGAACTAGATGCGCTAGAATAGTGTTGGAGTGAAAACCTACAGGATGGTAGCTCTCCACGAACAGGGTTGGAATGAAAACCTACAGGATGGTAGCTCTCCACGAACAGGGTTGGAGAGCCCTGTCCTAGGTGATAGATCACAAAGCAGCATCCCCGCTAAAGTTCACTTTCTCATCCATAAACAAGTGCAAATACGGTTCAGCTGCTCAAATCAGCAGAATGAGGGGCCTTTTATTAGGAAGGACGTCTACCATGGATGGATCGCTAAAATAATGATTATGATCACACTTCATCAATTTCAATATTATGGGGAGACCTATACAGTACATTTGTGGCAGCCAAGTACGAGTTACCAGTGTAGCGTATTATTGTGTAGACATGACGTTGACATATCTTTACGTCTACAATAAAAACCTCCAGGCTTCCGTCATAAGGGTCAATTTAATTCGAAAAAAATAAGAATTACAGGGGGCAGTTTGGAAAAACGAATCCTGTGTGAAACGTCCTCTGGAATAATGCACATGCTTGTATAATAATTACAAAACCAACGTCTCTTGTAATACCTGTCCAATAGGGCTATAACATGGAAAATAATAGGCTTATCAATGTAGAGGGCGCTGCAATTTTTTTTTAAATTTCACCTTTTTAGTATTAACACTGGAATGATAGATGTGCAAGAGATGATGTGCAAATAGAGATATTGGGGTGCAAATGAGCAAAATGAATAACAATATGGGGATGAGGTAGTTGGGTGGGCATCATCCCATGGGATCAGTCCAAAAAAAATATGCCATTTAGCAGACGCTTTTATCCAAAGCGACTTACAGTCATGCGTGCATAATTTTTTTTTTGTGTATGGGTGGTCCCGGGGATCGAACCCACTACCTTGGCGTTACAAGCGCCGTGCTCTACCAGCTGAGCTACAGAGGACCACAATCAAGGCTGCACACAGCAGAAATATCACTGAAATATTCTAGTTCCTACACATCACCTTCTATATTAAAACAAAATATACCTTTTATAGACAAATGGGCAGCATCATGCTCATGTCAATCCTCTAGAACGCAAATGTAGTCTTCCTAGTAGGACTCTGTAATAATGAGGTGTGCACGTATTTGTTTCAGCGTGTTTTGGGAGTCGAGCAAGAGTCGACTCCAATCACAGTTGACTCCAAAAATCCTGGAGTTGTGCACCACTAGTGTTAGCTAGCACTAAATCATGTTTTAAAGCCAGGCATAGCTCAATTTGCTAGCTAGCTAACTGGCAAACAACTTTGCCAGCTGGCTAAATTATCCTACTGATATCTGTCATTAGCAAACTGTTTTGAGATCATATCAAGTTAGCTAGAAACTAACGTTATAGGTTGACCAACCAGCCGTATTCTGAGGATTAATGCTATGCTAACTAGGGCTGACCCCATTTAGTCGACTGGTCAATGGGCTGCTGGTCGATGGGCTGTTGGTCGATGGGCTGTTGGTCGATGGGCTGCTGGTCGATGGGCTGCTGGTCGATGGGCTGCTGGTCGATGGGCTGCTGGTCGATGGGCTGCTGGTCGATGGGCTGTTGGTCGATGGGCTGTTGGTCGATGGGCTGCTGGTCGATGGGCTGCTGGTCGATGGGCTGCTGGTCAATGGGCTGTTGGTTGCTGGTCGATGGGCTGCTGGTCGATGGGCTGCTGGTCAATGGGCTGTTGGTTGCTGGTCGATGGGCTGCTGGTCGATGGGCTGCTGGTCGATGGGCTGTTGGTCGATGGGCTGTTGGTCGATGGGCTGTTGGTTGATGGGCTGTTGGTCGATGGGCTGCTGGTCGATGGGCTGTTGGTCGATGGGCTGCTGGTCGATGGGCTGCTGGTCAATGGGCTGTTGGTGCTGGTCGATGGGCTGCTGGTCGATGGGCTGCTGGTCAATGGGCTGTTGGTTGCTGGTCGATGGGGCTGCTGGTCGATGGGCTGCTGGTCGATGGGCTGTTGGTCGATGGGCTGCTGGTCGATGGGCTGTTGGTCGATGGGCTGTTGGTCGATGGGCTGTTGGTCGATGGGCTGTTGGTCGATGGGCTGTTGGTCGATGGGCTGTTGGTTGATGGCTGTTGGTCGATGGGTGCTGGTCGATGGGCTGTTGGTCGATGGGCTGTTGGTCGATGGGCTGCTGGTCGATGGGCTGCTGGTCAATGGGCTGTTGGTTGCTGGTCGATGGGCTGCTGGTCGATGGGCTGCTGGTCAATGGGCTGTTGGTTGCTGGTCGATGGGCTGCTGGTCGATGGGCTGCTGGTCAATGGGCTGTTGGTTGCTGGTCGATGGGCTGCTGGTCGATGGGCTGCTGGTCGATGGGCTGTTGGTCGATGGGCTGCTGGTCGATGGGCTGTTGGTCGATGGGCTGCTGGTCGATGGGCTGCTGGTCGATGGGCTGTTGGTCGACCGATATTTCTTTAGTCGAGGAGTAGCAAAAAAATAAATAATTACGGTGGACGAGACACCTGTCTGATTGGAGCCTGTCTGATTGGAGCCTGGCTGAGTGGACTGATCCATTGTGGAGGCCGTTGGGACACCTGTCTGATTGGAGCCTGTCTGAGTGGACTGATCCATTGTGGAGGCCGTTGGGACACCTGTCTGATTGGAGCCTGTCTGAGTGGACTGATCCATTGTGGAGGCCGTTGGGACACCTGTCTGATTGGAGCCTGTCTGAGTGGACTGATCCATTGTGGAGGCCGTGGGGACACCTGTCTGATTGGAGCCTGTCTGAGTGGACTGATCCATTGTGGAGGCCGTGGGGACACCTGTCTGATTGGAGCCTGTCTGAGTGGACTGATCCATTGTGGAGGCCGTTGGGACACCTGTCTGATTGGAGCCTGTCTGAGTGGACTGATCCATTGTGGAGGCCGTTGGGACACCTGTCTGATTGGAGCCTGTCTGAGTGGACTGATCCATTGTGGAGGCCGTTGGGACACCTGTCTGATTGGAGCCTGTCTGAGTGGACTGATCCATTGTGGAGGCCGTTGGGACACCTGTCTGATTGGAGCCTGTCTGAGTGGACTGATCCATTGTGGAGGCCGTGGGGACACCTGTCTGATTGGAGCCTGTCTGAGTGGACTGATCCATTGTGGAGGCCGTTGTGACACCTGTCTGATTGGAGCCTGTCTGAGTGGACTGATCCATTGTGGAGGCCGTTGGGACACCTGTCTGATTGGAGCCTGTCTGAGTGGACTGATCCATTGTGGAGGCCGTTGGGACACCTGTCTGATTGGAGCCTGTCTGAGTGGACTGATCCATTGTGGAGGCCGTGGGGACACCTGTCTGATTGGAGCCTGTCTGAGTGGACTGATCCATTGTGGAGGCCGTGGGGATGGCACAGTCCATCAGTCTAAGACAAGTGTTACTGAAATTGTATATGGTTATATTATGTAAGAACAATGGTGCAACACTAATACAAATTATATTATCTTATAGCAAATGCGCTTTCTCCCACGTTGGATAGTGGTCGCTGTCCGCGGTTCTGAAACACATCAGTGTGCTTTTGAATTGCCGCCTTTTCCTAGACCATGTTGCTATGTGCATAATAGCAAAGTTAACCAGCATATTGGTGTTGAGAACAAAGCGGGGGAGGCAGCAGCGGAGGAAGGAGATGAGGAAACAGCCCTTGCCTTAATTGTCTAAGAAAAGTGAGGCGAGAGGAAACCCCAACTTAATTAGGTCTATAATCAATAGTCATTTTTTCTTGATCTCTTATTGTTATTACTATTATGATCATTATAATAATAAGTCATGTCATTATCATTAGTAGGCTTAGTATAGCAGCCTTGTATAACCACCATGGAGCTGTAGGCCTAAGAGCGCATCCTGTTTAGTCTTAATACCGTAACATACTGGGGAAGGGTACCAAAACATTTCTGCAGCATTGAAGGTCCCTAAGAACACAGTGGGCTCCATCATTCTTAAATGGAAGAAGTTTGGAACCACCAAGACTCTTCCTAGAGCTGGCTGCCCGGCCAAACTGAGCAATCTGGGGAGAAGGGCCTTGGTCAGGGAGATGACCAAGAACCCAATGGTCACGCTGACAGAGCTCCAGAGTTCCTCTGTGGAGATGGGAGAAACTTCCAGAAGGACAACCATCTCTGCAGCACTCCACCAATCGGGCCTTTATGGTAGAGTGGCCAGATGGAAGCCTGCTTGGAGTTTGCCAAAAGGCACCTAAAGGACTCTGACAATGAGAAACAATATTCTCTGGTCTGATGAAACGAAGATAGAACTCTTTGGCCTGAATGCCAAGCATCACGTCTGGAGGAAACCTGGCACCATCCCTACGGTGAAGCATGGTGGTGGCAGTATCATGCTGTGGGGATGTTTTTCAGTGGCTAGTCAGGATTGAGGCAAACATGAACGGAGCAATGTACAGAGATCCTTGAAGAAAACCTACTCCAGAGCGCTCAGGACCTCAGACTGGGGTGAAGGTTCACCTTCCAACAGGACAACGACCCTAAGCACACAGCCAAGACAACGCAGGAGTGGCTTCGGAACAAACATAAAAAAATAAAAATACAACTGTTTTTGCTTTGTCATTATGGGGTATTATTATGGGGTATTGTGTGTAGATTGAGGATAACCCCCACAATTTAATCAATTTTAGAATAAGGCTGGAAGGAATAAGGCTGGAAGGAATAAGGCTGGAACGTAACAAAATGTGGAAAAAGGAAAGGCCCTGAGGCCTTATAGTAAGACAGTAAAACACCAGGAAATCAGCTCAGTGATTTTAATTGTGGAAATCTGTTCCCAAGTATTCCTATGTGATCGTATGCAAATGTAGGCAAGGTTTGATATTAAAATATAATCAAATATCTGTTTGCGCTTCTTGCGGTCAATTTGCAGTCTACAAATTATTTGTAATTATGTTCTGTCCCCCCGACCAGCCACGGCTGGATCTAGTTGATGATCCCTGCTATAGACGGACCATATAGAACTGGACCATACAGTTAAATATATTCTGTTTAATGTACTGTCTTTCCCTATACAGAAGGTCCATATGGTATATTTGCGGGCCGGGATGCATCGAGGGGTCTGGCCACCTTTTGTCTGGAGAAAGATGCCCTGAGGGAGGAGTACGATGACCTGTCAGACCTCAACGCTGTTCAGATGGAGTCCGTCAGAGAGTGGGAGATGCAGTTCATGGGTAAGATATGGATATGGAGGATACAGGGCCTAAAACACCCGCCAAATGTGGGTCGATTTTGGCGTTGGCGGCTAAGAATGTCTAATTCACCAGCCACGTTGGCAGGTAGTCACACTCAGGCCTCTACAGTGCGAGCATTTCATAAAAATAGTAAAAAATTCAAGTATGGCACATGGAGTTGTGATTTATAGCAAAATAAATGCTGCAGTAGCTGTTTTCAAAGTATTTCTGGCGTTTTGTTTCATGCTGGTAATGGACAAAGAAATCTGAATCCTAACATTATAGCTATCCCACCTCACACAGCAACACTGTCTGGCTGGCGGCTGTGTGCACTGGATGTAGTGCTGCTGAAAGATTTATTTGAGAAGCAATGTGCACAGGCATAAAATAGTCTAATTTACTCCAATGTCTACGAAAGTGAGACTTTGTCCTCATGTTTTTTGGCTATTTATACATTGTTTTGTTCACAAGCTAGGTTGCTTTTCAATGTTTGAGTTTGCTTCCACTGCTAGCAAAGAGACATCATCGGCTCTACTAGTGAGATTCTCACAGGCACACATGATGACAGGAGTGGCCCCGTTACCAAGGTAACCTTAAAGGGCCAGCTGAACGTTTTTGTCTCATCTATGATATTTTGCTTAAAGGACTCAGGTCACAGAGTATTACATTAAATTGAGCAATGTACCACATTACTTTGTTTTAGGCCCTGGTAGGATATATGTTGGTGCTCGATTTAGAGTGCAGTTTGATTTGACCCCTGTGATCTCTCATTACAGAAAAATATGATTATGTTGGTCGGCTGTTAAAGCCAGGGGATGAGCCGTCAGAATACACAGATGAGGAGGACATCAAGGACCACCTGAAACATGACTGAACTGTTGCCCTGTTCGGTTCTGTTCACACCACCAACCAAAGCCAGGACCCAAACAGCTGCCAGCGCCCTGAAACATGACTGAACTGTTGCCCTGTTCAGTTCTGTTCACACCACCAACCAAAGCCAGGACCCAAACAGCTGACAGCACCTGCCTGTCCCCCCTCACCTCCCCTCCTCTTCCCCCCCAAGCCCCCTCCTCTTCCCCTGTTCTCCTTCTACTCCCTTGTTCTCCTCTTCTCCTCCTCTTCCCCTGTTCTCCTTCTACTCCCTTGTTCTCCTCTTCTCCTCCTCTTCCCCTGTTCTCCTTCTACTCCTTGTTCTCCTCTTCCCCTGCTCCTCCTCTGTTCTCCTTCTACTCCCTTGTTCTCCTCTTCTCCTCCTCTTCCCCTGTTCTCCTTCTACTCCCTTGTTCTCCTCCTCTTCCCGTTCTCCTCTACTCTCCCCTATTTCTCCTCTTTGAAGCCCCCCCGCTCCCACCTATTTCCTCTGATTGGATAGCCCAGTCCCTTTCCTCTGATTGGATAGCCCAGTCCCTTTCCTCTGATTGGATAGCCCAGTCCTTTTCCTCTGATTGGATAGCCCAGTCCCTTTCCTCTGATTTGATGGTCCAGTCCTGGATTGGATGGCTGTGCTGGATGGGAGGGCCCTGGACTGACTCCTCCCCTCACCATACAGATCACCACCAACAGAAACCAATGATGAAACACTGTTTCAGGGGGATTTGAATGACATTAACTTGTCTGAGTTTTGTGCGGTTAGTATATTTGAAAACGGAAAAGAAACGCAAAACATTTTATAGAATTTTCCTTGGAATGTCCCTGTTGTATAAATGTGAACAGAAGCATAGAGGTCCTTGCCACAACATATTTAGAATCACTCAGATTGATTGATTGGGAATACAAAGGGAAGGTCAGCTGACAGTTCTAACCCAATCGACTGTTTACAAACCACACTACTGGATGTCTGTCCAATCCCCTGGACAGGAAATGGTCAAAGTATTAATTGTGCCTTATTTTGTTTTTTATACTATTAAAATCCTGTCTAAAAAAGAGAAGGAAAACAATTCTGCCCATTGATGTTTATTAGTTAATTTCTTGGAGGTGTTCTATAGAGCGGTTTCCTTTTAAAGCGATCAGTCTAAGGCTCTGGTCTGTCACACCGACTGGCAGAGAGACTCCACGCATCACAACCTTGTATATAGACCTCAGTGTTACTGCCATATTTATGTAGTTAATGATGAACTCCATAAATTGCTGTGTTGTATTGGCCGAAAGCCCATGGTTTGTGTATTTCTTTAGTTTTTTTTCCTGAAGTTCTTTTTAAACGTGGGTTGAATTTCAAAAGGAACGTTGAAAGTGCTGTGGTTTGGGACGGGATTGGGGAATGTTCACATTTGGGAGAGAAGTCGCTTATCTTGTAAATATATCTATCATTTTATTAAAGCATGTGCGTCAATGCTGAATTCCCACCAAGTCATGTATTTAAATGTTGGGTATGTCTGCAGAGAGAGACAGAGGCATGCATAATAAAGTGATTTGGTTAATAATTCATGTCTTGAGTTATTTCATTCCAAACACAAATGTTTGTCATATAAGACAGAAATATATAGGATGTAACCATACCTAGTCAAATATATAGGATGTACCATGAGGTAATAACATGGCTATATACAGGGAGTACCAGTACTGAGTCAATGTGCAGGGGTACGAGGTAAGAACATGGCTATATACAGGGAGTACCAGTACTGAGTTGATGTGCAGGGGTACGAGGTAATAACATGGCTATATACAGGGAGTACCAGTACTGAGTCAATGTGCAGGGGTACGAGGTAAGAACATGGCTATATACAGGGAGTACCAGTACTGAGTTGATGTGCAGGGGTACGAGGTAATAACATGGCTATATACAGGGAGTAGCAGTACTGAGTCAATGTGCAGGGGTACGAGGTAATAACATGGCTATATACAGGGAGTACCAGTACTGAGTTGATGTGCAGGGGTACGAGGTAATTGAGGTAATATGTACATACAGTGGGGAAAAAAAGTATTTAGTCAGCCACCAATTGTGCAAGTTCTCCCACTTAAAAAGATGAGAGAGGCCTGTAATTTTCATCATAGGTACACGTCAACTATGACAGACAAATTGAGGGAAAAAAAATCAAGAAAATCACATTGTAGGATTTTTTATGAATTTATTTGCAAATTATGGTGGAAAAAAAGTATTTGGTCACCTACAAACAAGCAAGATTTCTGGCTCTCACAGACCTGTAACTTCTGCTTTAAGAGGCTCCTCTGTCCTCCACTCGTTACCTGTATTAATGGCACCTGTTTGAACTTGTTATCAGTATAAAAGACACCTGTCCACAACCTCAAACAGTCACACTCCAAACTCCACTATGGCCAAGACCAAAGAGCTGTCAAAGGACACCAGAAACAAAATTGTAGACCTGCACCAGGCTGGGAAGACTGAATCTGCAATAGTTAAGCAGCTTGGTTTGAAGATATCATCTGTGGGAGCAATTATTAGGAAATGGAAGACATACAAGACCACTGATAATCTCCCTCGATCTGGGGCTCCACGCAAGATCTCACCCCGTGGGGTCAAAATGATCACAAGAACGGTGAGCAAAAATCCCAGAACCACACGGGGGGACCTAGTGAATGACCTGCAGAGAGCTGGGACCAAAGTAACAAAGCCTACCATCAGTAACATACTACGCCGCCAGGGACTCAAATCCTGCAGTGCCAGACGTGTCCCCCTGCTTAAGCCAGTACATGTCCAGGCCCATCTGAAGTTTGCTAGAGTGCATTTGGATGATCCAGAAGAGGATTGGGAAAATGTCATATGGTCAGATGAAACCAAAATAGAACTTTTTGGTAAAAACTCAACTCGTCGTGTTTGGAGGACAAAGAAAGCTGAGTTGCATCCAAAGAACACCATACCTACTGTGAAGCATGGGGGTGGAAACATCATGCTTTGGGGCTGTTTTTCTGCAAAGGGACCAGGACGACTGATCCGTGTAAAGGAAAGAATGAATGGGGCCATGTATCATGAGATTTTGAGTGAAAACCTCCTTCCATCAGCAAGGGCATTGAAGATGAAACGTGGCTGGGTCTTTCAGCATGACAATGATCCCAAACACACCGCCCGGGCAACAAAGGAGTGGCTTCGTAAGAAGCATTTCAAGGTCCTGGAGTGGCCTAGCCAGTCTCCAGATCTCAACCCCATAGACAATCTTTGGAGGGAGTTGAAAGTCTGTGTTGCCCAGCGACAGCCCCAAAACATCACTGCTCTAGAGGAGATCTGCATGGAGGAATGGGCCAAAATACCAGCAACAGTGTGTGAAAACCTTGTGAAGACTTACAGAAAACGTTTGACCTGTGTCATTGCCAACAAAGGGTATATAACAAAGTATTGAGAAACTTTTGTTATTGACCAAATACTTATTTTCCACCATAATTTGCAAATAAATTCATAAAAAATCCTACAATGTGATTTTCTGGATTTTTTTCCCTCATTTTGTCTGTCATAGTTGACGTGTACCTATGATGAAAATTACAGGCCTCTCTCATCTTTTTAAGTGGGAGAACTTGCACAATTGGTGGCTGACTAAATACTTTTTTTCCCCACTGTATACAGTAAGTAAGGGTAAAGTGACTAGGCAACAGGATAGATAAACGGCAGCAGTGTATGTGATGAGTCATAGTGCAAAAACTATCAATGCAGGTAGCTATTGGTTAACTATTTAAGTAACAATTTAGCAGTCTTATGGCTTGGGGGTAGAAACTGTTAAGGGTCCTGTTGGTTTCATACTTGGTGCATCGGTACTGCTTGCTGTGCGGTAGCAGAGAGAACAGCCTGACTTGGGTGGCTGGAGTCTTGACAATTTTTAGGGCCTTCTTCTGACATTGCTTGGTATAGAGGTCCTGGATGGCAGGGAGTTCGGCCCCAGTGATGTACTGGGCCGTACGCACTACCCTCTAGCGCCTTGCAGTCGGAGGCCAAGCAGTTGCTGTACCAAGCAGAGATGCAGCCAGTCAAGATGCTCTCAATGGTGCAGCTGTAGAATGTTTTGAGGATCGGAGGGCCCATGCCAAATCTTTTCAGTCTCCTGAGGGGGAAGAGGTGTTGTAGTGACTTCTTCATGACTTGGTGTGTGTGGACCATGATAATTCCCTAGTGATGTGGACAATGAGGAACTTGAAGGTCTCGACCCACTACAGCCCCGTCGATGTAGATGGGGGTGTGCTCGGCCCTCTGTTTCCTGTAGTCCAATATCAGCTCCTTTGTCTTGCTGACATTGAGGGAGAGGTTCTTATCCTGGCACCACACAGCCAGGTCACTGACCTCCTCCCTATAGGCTGTCTCATCATTGTTGGTGATCAGGGCTACCACAATCGTGTCGTCGGTTAACTTAATGATGGTGTTGGAGTCGTGTTTGGCCACGCAGTCGTGGGTGAACAGGGAGTACAGGAGGGGACTGAGCACGCACCCCTGAGGGGCCCCCGTGTTGAGCGAAAGCGTGGCGGATGTGTTGTTGCCTACCCTCACCACCTGGGGGCATTCCGTCAGGAAGTCCAGGATCCAGTTGCAGAGGGAGGTGTTTAGTCCCAGGGTCCTTAGCTTAGTGATGAGCTTTGTAGGCACTATGGTGTTGAACGCTGAGCTGTAGTCAATGAACAGCATTCTTACGTAGGTGTTCCTCTTGTCCAGGTGGGAAAGGGCAGTGTGGAGTGCAATAGAGATTGCATCATCTGTAGATCTGTTAGGGTGGTATGTGAATTGGAGTGGGTCTAGGGTTTCTGGGATGATGGTATTGATGTGAGCCATGACCAGCCATTCAAAGCTGGGGCGGCAGGTAGCTTAGTGGTTAAGAGCGTTGTGCCAGTAATCGAAAGGTCGCTGGTTCTAATCCCCGAGCCGACTAGGTGAAAAATCTGTCGATGTGCCCTTGAGCAAGGCACTTAACCCTAATTGCTCCTGTAAGTCGCTCTGGATAAGAGCGTCTGCTAAATGACAAAAAAAAAAAAAAGCATTTCATAGCTACAGATAGTCATTTAGACAGGTTACCTTGGCGTTCTTGGGCACAGGGACTATGGTGGTCTGCTTGAAACATGTAGGTATTACAGACTGGGTCAGGGAGAGGTTGAACATGTCAGTGAAGACACTGGCCCTGAGGCCTTGTGAAGCTCTGAGTATGTATCCTGGTAATCCGTCTGGCCCTGAGGCCTTGTGAAGCTCTGAGTATGTATCCTGGTAATCCGTCAGGCCCTGAGGCCTTGTGAAGCTCTGAATATGTATCCTGGTAATCCGTCTGGCCCTGAGGCCTTGTGAAGCTCTGAGTATGTATCCTGGTAATCCGTCTGGCCCTGAGGCCTTGTGCAGCTCTGAGTATGTATCCTGGTAATCCATCTGGCCCTGAGGCCTTGTGCAGCTCTGAGTATGTATCCTGGTAATCCGTCTGGCCCTGAGGCCTTGTGAAGCTCTGAGTATGTATCCTGGTAAT